ACAGGTAAGCGGTCGTCCTCTACTAATGAGACGGTATTTGATGTTACTTTTGGACATGAAAAATCTACTTCTATTTCTTTTCTTTTGATCGTTCTTTCAACTATATTCTTCAAGGCATAATAATCCTTTAAGGAATGACTGATGTTGTGATGGTACCTGCAATAATTAGGATCATCAGTCTTATCAACATCATTCGGCCTTTTTGGCTCAGGGAGTTTTATTGCTTTTGTAGCAAGCAACTCATCAAAAATAATTTGCTCTACATCCTCATCATCAAAAGAATATTTAACCTTTTTTGTTTCCTTAAGAGTGAGTTTATTTGACTCTTCTCTTACTTTTCCTTTGTTTTGATTCTTGTCATTCTTAACAAAGGTAGCCATTGATTCAGTTTTTTTTAATGGCGTTTTATTTTCAACTTTCTTCTTTTCTGGGTGAGATCTCATCATGGCACCTTCTGATGAGCTATTTGCCTTTCGACTACACTTGCCTTTGAAACCAATTCATTAAAAGATTGTGGTTCCACAGTTCCAATAAAAGTAGCTACTTCTAGCACGAGATTATTAGCACACATGGAAACCGCAGAAATCTCTATCAATTTTTCCGGACATTGGAGGTTAAGATTCCTCCATCTAGTGATAAAGTAATTTGCACTTTCCCCCGGTCTTTGCTTAGTTTCCACTAAATCTGTGATTGTTACTTTCATTTTTGAGAAGACAAATTGGGCTAGGAATGCTTTTTGCATATTATCCCATGTAATAATGGAACGTGGAGGAAGTTGTGTATACCACGTGAATGCTGCTCCTTTAGAGATTGTACAAATTGTCTAATTAATAATACGTCTGATTGAGTAGTCTCGCCACATGCATAGGTATAGTATGCCAAATGTTCGTGTGGAGACCCATTTATCCCATCAAATTTTCAAAATTTGACCTTACATAATATCAAGGTAAAGGGATTTGATCATAATGTGCCGGGTAAGGCTTTCGGTACCCTAATACTGGCATACACATAATAGCTTAATATTATCATATTCCATCCATAATCAACGTCCTCAAGTCTGGTTGTGGTATTGGATCCGCTGGCTGTCTTATCTCAGTTCTCAAGCCTGGTTGGAATATTGGGGATGCATATGTCTTTCCTATTCCAGATGTTTGACCTACACCCACATTTTCTTGCAAATGTACAGAGAATTTTGTGACTTCAACCTCCTTCTCAACAAGCATCCTTCTCAATTCTTGGATTTACTCACCTTGCTCGTCTATACTTGTCGTTCCAATAACTAAAACTGGCATATTTCTTGACTCTATATCGTTATCAGTAGTTGACACTTCCATTTGGCCTATTAGAGGTGTATCTCTAATCGTTTGAGGACCAGAAGAATCATGCATACAACGTGCCTTTGATCGTGTGATTGGTCCCTCATATGGTACCATTGCATTTCTTTCTACTTTGTCGTCAATAGTAAGCTTCGTCGTTAGACAATTCTTGGTCATAATGATCAATCCTTCGTCATCTCGCTCTTGGTTTTGATCGTTGAATAATGGCCCAAGATTCACTCGTGGCATTCTCAGTCCACCACTTCTAACTTTCTTCGTTGAGTTTTCTCCAAATTGAGTGACCAAACCCATTTGATTTCTTTCAGCGACTATTGCCTTTACTTTCCCTTTCTGTACACTCTTTTTGGGAGTCTTTGAAACATTTGGTGATGTAGTGAAGTTATCCACCTCTTTTGTTATTGGAGAAGCTGGAGTAGATATCCCTTCAGTATTAGTCATCATAACAGGTTCTACCGTATCGATGTTAATGGGAATCGAACCAATCATAATCTGAACTGGTCGTTGATCTGTGATCTTAACGGTTTCTGTAGGACAAGTCTTGACAATTTTGCCTGTTTTAACCTTCGTATCCTCGGCGATCTTCAGAAAGAGAATAGCTACGGTCTTCACAGCTTGCTTAAACTTTCTTTTGGCGGATCTCTTCTTCAATCCTTTGGCAGCCTTACCGCAAAGAGCCTTTGAAGATTGCTTCGCTTTGCAAACCTTAAGAACTTTTGGCACTATGGCAGCAGTAGGTGCCGCATTGATTGCGAAGGTCGTCTTAAACTCCACCTTATTTTGCCCCCCAGCAATCCTTACGGATGGGAGTTGATGGAAGTACACGGTAACTTGTGGTGTCATTTTGCAAAATAAAATGACAAAAATGGTTACATTTAGATGATTATTATAATTAAATATTACCATTATAACCGGAGATGAAAAGGAGAATAGGTCTCACCGAGCATGCCAAAAATTATGTTGCGTAAAAATATTTATTAATATTAAAATAATATTTCACACACAACATAATTTCACCTATACTAGGATTTAATTAGTATAGGAGTTTATTATTGTTTAGTTCGACCCATTCAAGATTATAAGAATAACCTCTTAATTACAATCCCTTGGTACAAGGAAAAACCTTTTGATTCCAATTAAAACAGTAAATTCTATTTTCTTGTGAATTTGGGAAATTTGGGTTGATTTAAAATTGTGGCTGAACTTAATAAATTTCGTCAAGTTGCCTATATACCCTGTTAAGGGATCAAGCAACTTGTAGTTCGAATTTAGAATTGGGATTTGTGTCTAGATAATTTGGTTTTAAATTTGGAATTTGTATTTGGATAATTCCTGGTGTATAAACGTTTGAGGAATTAAAAGAACTTTAAAAATTTGACTTGAGGTTTGAAATTTAGATAATTCCTGGTGTATGACCGTGTTAGGAATTAAAAGAACTTTAAAAATTTGACTTGAGATTTGAAATGTGGAAAATTCGTCGGTATATAACCGTGTTAGGAATTAAAAGGCCCTTTTAAAACTTGATTTAAGATTTGAATTTGGATAATTCCTATTTCAAATTTGGATTTGAATAATTCCTTGGTATATGACCTTATTAAAAGGATTTTAGAATTTTGACTTGAGATTTAAGTTTGGGTAATTCCAATATGGAATTTAATTTGAATTTGAAAATTGTGACTGCATCTAGATTTCATATCTAAGTTGCCTACATATCCAAAATGGAATCAACTCGTCGTAGTTCTTGAATTTTAAAATTTAAAGTGAAATTTTGTGATCTTTTATCTGTGAGGTTAATGATCTCTTTAAACTTTTTGGGCGAATTTTAATTTTAGATTTTTTTCGTGATTTTTGAAAATAATCACATCTTAACAGATATATGGTACACATATTTTTCGGATGTGTTTGGATTTCAAAAAGGTCACTAAAGATACTTATTTATGTGTGTACGTCAATAAAGAAGAAAATCTAGACTTCTATCAAAACTTTGATTTGCAGCATCAATTGCCATCATCCCTTGATTTACGTGTAGAGCCATCAACCAAATTGTTTATTTGGCTTCTTTAAAAATATATATTTACTTTTGGTTATTTTCTTTCACCATCAGTCAATCTTCTTCTCTCTATTTTTTGCATCAAATCGTCAATTTATTCTGACGAAGTTTTAATTACATTATGCATTCTGTCTTTTGTCTACATATAGAGCCATCTTCTCATTCCAAGCAAGAAAAAAGTAATTGCTTTTCAGCTAAAAAGGAACAAAAGGAGAGGTAGTCTTTTACACGTTGCTGAACAAAAGGTAATTCTTTTTTTTTTTGTTTAGCCTTTCATCATTGGTCATTTTTTTACTTCAGTCTTTTGACTACCATTTTTTTTACAGGAAACGAAGACACTCTTTGTAAGTGGTCATCAATTTTTGTTTCGGGTTGCACTTATAAGGCAGACTGAAAATTATAACAACATTTTAAACTGCACTATTATGGTCAAATTCATCACATATATACATAGCTACACACACGTATATTTTTTTGGGTTGCATCATAACGATCATACCCTTTTTTTTAGGTTCTAATTCTTGCAATCTCATGATTTTGTTGAGTTCTAAAACTTACAACTCTATTTAGATTTTGTTTTAGAGGTTCTAAATCTTGCAACCTCATGATTTTGTAGAGTTCTAAAACTTGCAACTCTATTTTAATATCTTTTAGAAGTTCTAAATCTTGCAACCTCATGATTTTTTTTTTTTTTAGAGTTCTAAAACTTGCAACTCTATTTTAATTTTTTTGGAGGTTTGCAACCTCATGATTTTATAGAGCTTTAACTCTTACAACTCTATTTTTAGAGGTTCTAAATTTTGCAACCTCATAATAATTTTTTACTGGGTTCAAAATTTGCAACCCACCTTGAAGCATGGATCTGATCAACGCTGACAAATGAACTTCTTCTCTGAAGATGACATTTCGGTACAAGAGAGAGTTTAGAAAGAAATTTATAAAAAAAGGACTGAGATACATCACGAGGGAAAACACAAAAAACTAAATAGAATTACAACCACACATTTTTTTTACCTTTCTTTCCCTTTCTCTGACAATTTTTTTCTAGTTTTTTTCAACTCACTCGTAATATACTCAATTCACTTTTTTTCCTGCCACAAAGATTGTACAGGGGTCAATGGTCTTTCCTTCTATTTTTCTTACATGCCTATATATAAACGTCCGAAGCAAACCCATTAAAAACTACTTTTTTTCTTTATTTATTTTTTTTAATTAGTCAATCATTTTTTTTAATCCTCTACTTTTATTCTTATTGGCTTTTTTTCACAATACTCAAACATGATTGACTGCTTTTATCTCTCAAGAATTACCCCTACTCATGTGAATTACTGATGTGAAAGATAACTTCTATATAACAGTTTTGTAAACTTCCACGCGTTATTTTTCACCAAACTCTCCACTAACACATTTTACTTTTGCCCACACACCCACTTCTTCCAGAAAGTTATCCAACCTCCCACGTGACCATTTTATTTTATTGTGTTTTTTTTGTTCTAACATAAACATCTTTTATCAGCTCAGCGTCACTTCACAAAGTCAATTAATTAGAAAATAATTTATCAAAATTAAGAATTGAGAGGAGAACTTGCACATTTACAAGAAATTTAAGAGGCCAAAAAGTGCTGAAAACCCTTTTCCTCCTCATCAGATGAGATTTGGAGATAATGAGGCTGTCAACAAAATTAAACTCTTTACAGAAATAGTCATTAAAGAGCACTGTAACTCATATGGCAGACTGTTATGGACAAAAGTCTAGTGTTGGCACTGCTGGTGCTAAAATAGAACTGCTGAGAAGACAAATACTATCATCACAAATATGGATATTTTGTAAAAGAAATGCAAGCAAAACGAGTCAGCGACTTATTTGTCATTGACAGTAAAATGAGATACAACTCAAGCCATGAGTTATTTTTCAACTTTCAAAACATCTCAACAGCAAGTCCTAAATGGCTGCTCATGATATTTCCCAAAGTGCAAGATTATGGTATAGCCAACCTCCACTGGTTCTTTCACTGGACGTCCTTAATGGATTCATAGTCTTTAGTTCCAAAGTTTTTGCACCAGAGTTGCGAGGGAATTGGCCGGACAGGATAATGTGGCCGTTGCTGAAACAAAATATGATCTTCTCAGATCTAGTTGTCATAAACTCATACAAATATTCCAATCAAATAAAAGTGAACCTCATAGGCGCAGCAGTTGAAGGAATAGAATCAAATTCCCACACACAAAAAAAAAAAAAGCCTTTTGGGAAGCTTACTTTCTCCCCCTCTTGTTTCATGAGGGGTGCTATTTAGATGCATTGTGCAAAATATCAACCTTACAAAGCATCCCAAGTTGCCAACTAAACATGCAACACGCATGCATGGCCAAAGTTTTTCTCATTGCTACATAAAAAATATATAGACAACTAATCCCCAATTAAATCTAACATCAAGTCAGTAACATGATCTCTCTAAAAAGAGAAAAGAAAAGACTGGAGAAACGAAAAAGAAAGATAACCTTTTTTTTTCCTTATATTGTAAATATATGAACAAGACTGATTAGCAACTATATTATCTTGAACACCACCACTTATGAACAAGACTGATTAGCAAAATGAACTTAGCATCTTATCAAAATTTATGATATTAAGACAGTTAAGAGGTTTCAAAGGGGAGGGATTTTTAAGGGATTGATAATCCAAAGGGATATTTTTGTCATTCTTGAGAAGACAAGGCTGAACATGGGATTTCGCAGTTCAAGGGAATATTTTGAGATTTTTCTCACAAATTGATTTTAAATATGCTTAGTACCAATATCAAATATCAAAGTATGTATCATAAGCACAGGCCACAGATTTATGTTACTACCATGAAACGTGATTTTTTTAGTAAAGTATGTGTAAGAAAATTGTCACTATGGTACACCAACTAAAAGCACAGAGTCATATTACTACATGTTAGAGGAGAAATATTGAAACTGTGCATATAGTTATCAGAAGTTACAATCCAAAATATATATATATATATATATATAGTATGTATGAAATATGAATATAAGACAAATTTGTGCCTAAAGCAAGTCAATATTCGGCTTCAATCAAGTTGAAAATGGATCAAGGTTCTACTGTTATCCTATCAAGGGCCATCTATAGGATAAAGCTACCATACAAGCGCCATTGCAAAAGCAACACGAGTGAAGAAAATACATGATTTTACTAGGACCTTACTTGGACCGGGGAACAAGTTAACATTGTACCACTACTTCAATCCTCATGATATCTTATAAGAAGTGGGTTTGAAAAAAAAAAAAATGCAATTCCATGCCACAATCTCAACCATCATTAACCTAAATCCCATTTCTGAGCAAGACCTTGTAGTTCAACAAACCAAAACACTGCACAGATAACCTTCACTTTAACAACGATCAAGAAACTCACAATCTACGACTATCTCGTGGAAAAATCAATATTTTATCGCAACTAACTTTTAGAAACCGAGAATCATATTATAGAAAAGGAATATTGTCCCCAAAAAATGAATCTTAATTGATAGCTAAGAAACTAAAGTATTAACAGAAACGACACGGCTAAAGCTCTGAGTTCCTCAGATCCTAAAGCAAGTCCAATTTCTTTCACTTCCCTAGAATTTCTCATTTGACATTTTTTAAGGGGGAAAAATAGAGAAAGACCTCAAGCTCGGCGGATTTCATGGCGATGGGGATGCAGATAAGGAAAATGCCGGCCATGGCTATGGCGGTGTTGCGCTTCCAGTGCTTGGGCCTACAGTAGGGCCCCCCCGACATACTCCACACCTTGCTCCTGAAATCCCCGTGAGCTCCTTCACCATGTCCGTGCTCAGCTCCTCCCATTCTCGATTATCGAAACCTCTCTCTTCTTCCTTCAATCTAATCACAAGAATTTGGATCAGAAATCTCAAATGTTAGACAACCAAAACCCTAATTAGGATATTTATTAGATGAATCCAATTACACAGAAAAACGACATGATCTCACGGAGGAATATAAAGTCGTAGAATATATATATATATATATATATATGGAATGGTGAAGCTAAAAGGAGAGAGATGCGACTGGGGATTGGGAGGAAGGACGTTTGGTTTATGTATTTAAAATTATAATTTAAAATTATTTTTATTTTATATATATATTTTTAAAAAAAATATATTATAAAATATTATAAATTATGATTTAAAATTAATGATGAATATAAAAAATAAAAGTAAAACCGAACCAGTAACTACTGCATATTTACTCAACGATAGATTGGTATTTGTTTGTCAAATGTAGTGGAATAGGAGGGTGTTTTTCTCTTTTAGATATGGAGTGTTGGCTTGTGGCCGACGAAGTTGTCTTGAGCATGTGGGGAATATGGCAGGAACTGACGAAAAAAATGGAGAATTTACTTTAGTATATATTTAAATTTTTATTTTTTATTTTTGATAAATATTTATTTTTTTATTAGTGTAATTATTTGACTAAAAAGGTTATGAATCAAGAGTAAATGGTAAAAATCTTAACACATGCAATTTCAATGGGTATTTATCAAGATTACCTAAAATTAACCTGTAAACACATCATTCTGGAGTTCTACCATTTTTCTGTGATAGGCTACCTTTTGATAATAATCTGTCAAATTATATATAGTAATCTGTCAAATTATGTCCGCCGCCGATAATTGGAGACCTGCGCCAGCGTAATTTGTCAAATTATAGATAATAATCTGTCAAATTACTTACTCTAAAAGGGTAAAATTCAATAGGTCAATGTTGAGACCTAAAAATCCTTAATTATACCATGTTAAGAGGTACTTATCAAAATTATCTGAGCCTATATGTTTATAAGGCCCACAATGCGCGGTGGGAGAAAGAAGACAAAATATATAAAAAAAAAAAATAGAGAAAATTGCAAAAGATGACTCTTAAAGACATCCTTATGGAGTTTTATCCTTACACTATGATAGGCTATCCATTTTATAATAATCTGTCAATATATAGTAATCTGTCAAATTATGCCCGCCACCGATGATGGAAGACCTACCGCCGGTGATCGGAAATCCACTGCTAGCGTAATTTGTCAAATTATAGATGATAATCTGTCAAATTACTTACTTTAAATGGGCAAAATTCACCAAAGGGACAAAATTTAATAGGCCAATGTTGAGATCTAAAAATCTTTAATGGTACCATTTTAAGGGGTATTTGTCAAAATTATCCTATAAAATACGAAAAAATAGAGAATTTATCATTGAGAGTGCATGAGTCTGGACTTTTATCTCTTATTCTTGATAAACACTCTTTTGTTAGTGTAATTATTTGACTAAAAAAATTATGAATTAAGAATAGAAGGTGAAAATCTGAATTCATATATTTTCAAGGGTTGACTTTGAGTTTGAACTGCGTCACTTTTGATGATTAGTAAAATGGGGTTTGCACTAGTTTGCAAGTTGAGGTGGTAAAGGCCTCGTTCGTTTCGTTGATTCGAGTTTTGTTACAGTACAAAGCTCTCACAAACAGTCACATCTAACTTTTTTGTTACAGTAAAAAGATCTCACATAAAATCATATCTCAACTCAAATTAGCGAAACGAACGAAGCCAAAGTGTCAGAGAGTTAAAATTTATAGGGAAAATTGTTAAAAATCCTTATTTTTATTCATAACATTTACTTTTTTTTCCCATTGACGTTCCTAAACTTTTTTTTCTTTGCAATTTGTTTCTTAAACTATCTTATTAGGTTCTAAGGACACTTTAGAATTATTTGTTGTTCATTGACACTTTACCCCCTTCAATTATTTTCATAGGTACTAAGAGTAAGAACCGTTTTTTATTATTATTAATTGGCACTTTGCTTCCCAATTCAAAAGTTGATCAAATTAGGTCTCGTTCAGTTCACGAATTCGAGTTTTTAATTTAAGTTGAGATGTAATTTTATGTAAGAGTTTTTCACTGTAGCAGAAAAAATATTAGATGTGATTTTTTATGAGAACTTTTAATTGTAATAAAATTAAAATTAAAAACTCAAATTGATAAAATGAATGAAGGCACGAGAGAGTTACTTCAATTTAACCGGCAAACTAGTTTGCATCGAGAAAGCCAAGTAATTGGCAATGCCACATCAGGACTAACTCCTGTGGGTTGAAATCAAACTTTCCAAAAGCTTGACGATTCGGGTGATAGATACAGGAAAATGATTGCAGTCCCAAACTGATACCAACTCCCTCCTGTTAAATTTATATGTGTATATGTACTGAGATGAATGTTATTGTGGGTTCAATCCTATCAACAGAGAAACTGAATCGACAAGGACAAATCACCGTATGGGGTCCTAATAAAATAATTCGGGAAGCAAAGTACTAGCCCGGAAAAAAAAAAAGAAAAAAAAAAGATAATTCAAGGGGGCATTAGAGCCAACTAGTCTAATTCTCTCTTTTGTACTTTAGTTAAAACTTTAATACACAAGGCTAAATGATACAAATAAACAAATAATCTTGTACTCCTTAGGAAGTGCCACTTGATCCATTAAGTCCCTCAGTTCGTATTTTAGTAGCAAATTCCATAAAGAATTCAGGACCATTTGCACCAATTACGCACTATATAAGCAAGTGCATATACAAGTAAATATAAATTTATGTGAAAGTCAATGACGAATTATCCATTTAATGGATCACTGTTGGATGAATGTGAGAGTACTCTATAAGACTTTCATGAGTATGTACGGAGAAATACATCTTTGTTATTGTTTCGTTTTCGTTTTGTACAAGAATGCTTTAATCATATAATAGAGTTACTCTTGAACTCAAAATAGCATTTACTCAACGGTAAGGCGGTAATTGAATGAAATAGCATCATAACTAATTGCAATCATTAATTGGCCTCGCTTGCAAGAGTTAATCTCACTCCATCTCTGTATGAAATCGGAGAAATACCAAGTGTCTGAACCAGTTTGGTGATATCCATGGATATGTCAACAGGGGATTTTATTTCTCGATCAACCTTAAAATTCAACGCAGAAGTTTAAAACTGTCAGCCACAGAGAAGAGAAAACCGAAGATGATTTGCTGGTTGCTAAATTCAAAAGCATGATTTTAGACTGGTAATCAGCATCATGATACTATTAGGGTTGCAACGAAAAAAAAAGTAAATGAGAAGTGTTTCCTCATCTATTTAATCGTGTATTTACTTACAAAATCAGAAATGATAATTTGGTCACTCCTTGCATCCTCTTGCTATAGATTCTTGGTTAATAAAAGCAAACGGCAAATAGTGCTGGAACTTTGAACGGGGCCGCCCGCGACCGCCTGAAAAAAGCGAGTTTTTGCCCGAGCCCGAACCCGACCCGCCCGAGAAATTCAGGCCGCCCGCTCGAGCCCGAATTTCACCTTGAACGGGCCGCGGGCTTGTATTAGGCGGCCCGTGGCCGCCCGAAGAGTCCGAATTTTTTTAAAATTTTTTTTTAATATTAAGTTATTTTGGGTTAAAATTTATATATATATATATATATATTATAATTTGAAATTTGAAATGAACATACGAATTACATAAAAAAATTATTTCTTTATTAATTTTTAAATTTGTAATTCATGATTGTCTCGTTAAAAACATTACCAAAAAAAACTCAATTGGGGTAAAAACTTGACAAGAAAAAAAGAGTACAATCATTTTGTGACGAATTACAAATTTTACAAACTTACAAAGTTATACAATTATAAATACAATGTCAAAAGTAAATACATATTTACAAATTTACAATTTAATTTGAAGCTGAATGATCGTCTTCAAAATTAAATGTTAATCAATTAAATTCATCGATCCATTCTTGGCTTGCCGGCGAAATTGTATCCTGTAGACGTTGATCAGCTCGATCCCAATCTTTAATGCAAACCAAGGCTTCAACAATATCCTTTTGCAATGCATTCCGGCGTTCCTCAAGTATTCTTCTTGTCATACTGAAGGCTTGTTCGGATGAAATAGTAGAAACTGAGATCGAAAATATATTCATTGTCAATCGAGTTAGGATTGGCCAAGTTAATGACCGTGCCCTCCACCATTGAACTAAGTCAAACGATTCTGCCGTACCGTCGACTACTAAGCCTTCACTGAGGTACGCCATAAACTCGTTGAAGCTGTCGCCGCCGCTGCCACTGTCACTTGTTGATGAAGATTTACTCGCAGCTTCTGTTTGAGTTGTCTTCTTTTTTTTCTTCAACCCGAAAACATTCAAGAATGAATGCGGGTTTTCGTTTTGTTGTTGCGGTTCCTGTACTCTAGAAGGTACTCTAAACCTAATCTCATATTTACTATAGATCAAATATATTTTTTCATTTATTATTGGATATTGGTCCTTACAGTTGATGCCTAAAAATTCACCTAAGTTTTCTAAACCACTTTCTAAACCGTCTAATTTTAACCTAGGATCAAAAATAGTACCTAAACCATACAACAAAGGCAACTTAGACCAATAGTTTTTAAATTTCTTTTCCATAGAATGAATAAGAACTCCTAAGATTGAGTCATCCCTATATTCGCTAAATAAAATACTAATTCTTAAAAGTTCACATAAAGTTAAAGGTGATGTTGGGTAGTATGTTCCACTAAGTTTTATAGTAACTTCATGAAACCTACCTAAAAATTAATATAAAACTTTGGCAATTTACCAATCAAATTCGTCTATATGTCATACGCCTAATTTTGCACACATATAATTTGTTATGGCATCCTTATAGGGGATGTATTGTTGAAGCATAATGTAAGTTGAGTTTCATCTTATAGGCATATCTAACGCTAATGCTCTAGGAGATATATTTAATGCTTGTAAGAACCTAAACCAATCTTCTTGTCTTTGGTTACTACCTTGAATCCATGCAAGACTATCTCTAATTTTTTTAATGTGATTACCCATTTCTTTTAAACCGGATTTAACTATTAAATTGATTACGTGACATGCACAACGTTGGTGGAAAATTATACTGTCACCGAATAAACTTAAATCATTTTCAAAGAACTCA